AAGAAAAACAGCCTCCTGCGGGAAAAAGGGGATGGGCGGGGATGTGTAGGGGGGGTGGGTGGTGGGCCGTGAGTCGATAGCAAGAGGCATCTTCACACGAAGGCCAGGCCTTGTTATGGATAATGGAGCTGACTGAGGACCCGGGCAGAGGAAGTTTTATGTGTGCAGCCCTGCCCGGCTGGCAGGTCAGATCATTATATCGGGGGGCCCCCACTCCCAGTCTGATGTATGAGGTAATGGGATTTATGGCAAGTCACCATCGGGACTCCTATGCCTGCAGAATGCGCCCGACAGACAACATGTTTGATGTCTGTATTGTTTTAATAACCCGTATTTCATTCCAGCGATCATTGAGCAGTTGCTTAAAAATGGGTTTAGACAGTGAGCTGTCACTGTCTATAACTTCTTGACGGGAATGACAGCCTTCCGCCGAGTGGCTCTCCTGGCAAAGTGTTGTTTTATGCTTGAAGTGACTGCGAAGGCATCAATTACCCTATCTTCTGGATATTAACCACTTCTGTTGCATAGCCGTGAACTTGGGGGGGGGGGGGGGGGCTGGCATTATGGGCGCTTGCCCAAAGGCAACGCTGGGGTGGTGGTGGATGTGGTGGTGGGTGTGGGTTTGGTGGTGATGGTGGGTGTGGGTTTGGTGGTGATGGGAGTTCGGTGATGGGTGTGGTGGTGGTGGATGGGGGGTGGTGGTGGTGGGTGTGGTGATGGTGGGGTGTGAGTGTAGTGGTGGATGTGGTGGTGGGGGGGTGTGGGGGGTGTTGTGGGTGTGGTGATGGTGGGGGGGGGGTGGTGGTGGGTGTGGTGGTAGTGGTGGGTGTGGTGGTGGTGGGGGGTGTTGAGTGTGGTAGTGGTGGGGGGTGTGGATGTGGTGGTGGTGGGGGTGTGGTGGTGGTGGTGGGGGGTGTGGTGGTGGTGGTGTGGTGGTGGTGTGGTGGTGATGTGGTCGTGGTGGGTGTGGTGGTGGTGTGGTCGTGGTGGTGGTGTGGTAGTGGTGGGTGTGGTGGTGGTGGTAGTGGTGGTGGTGGGGTTGTGGTGCTCGTCCACTCGGTGTGGGGGGCGCCGTGGTGCCTCGGGCCGCCTCCGCCCCCCAAACGCGACGCCTGCGATCGGCCACAAACATCGGCGAACGGGCGGCAATTAAAGTGAACAATAGGGAAAGCCCGTGAGTGAGCCAGTTAATGGTGTTTTCTTCAGTGTGGACAGGCAGAGAGTCATGGCTATTAAGTTATTACAGAGGGAGAGAGAGTTGCATAAGAGTCAAATTGTGGTGGGGGGGACAGAGACTACAACTGATTTGAAATGAAAAGCTGAAGGAATGTGGCCGGCTGCCAACACCACAGGGTTTTTTTTTGCCTTCCTTTTATCTTTATTAGAAATACTAATTGCTGCTTTTTTTTAAACTGCGGCATTTTAAATTGGACCTGTACGCGAAGATAACGGCTCAGCCTATTGATGCGGCATTTAACTTAAATTTGGAACCGCTTTCGCTGACTGCACAGAGAAGGACACATTTGTGGCCGGCTGCGTTGTACAAAGGGATTTGTGAAATAATTTGACATTTTTCGACGTTCCTTGTGGCTGGAGATTCGCGGGTTTATATTGTCCGATAAAATGTAATTAATGAGCGCGTGAAAATAAGAACAAACAGCGAATTTCAGGTTTAATTTTGGCTTAAGATTAGTCGTGATGATGGGGGGGGGGGGTGTTTTTGGAGAAGTCAGGTCATTGACCTCCATTGTGAACTGCATTGACCCCAATCAAGCTTTTGCCAAATGTGTTTCTCAATCAGCCTAACAATCAGCCAGGAAATAAAATAACAAGGCTCACTGTAGTCGACCTTTTAAAAAAAAATGTGGGTTTAAATAATAATTGTATCCAACAAATGTAATAAAGCACTTTTGGCATTCATGCCGCAATGTGGGTGCTAAACTGCTAATTAAATAACACTCATAAAGAAAAAACCCATGTTTTAAATAACAAGCAATTTGCTGATATAATTGGGTACCTCATTAAACATTTTAGATACATGCTTGTTTGATTCCAATTTTAATTATATTATTGGCATCTCTTTACGTAGTAAAATAAAGAATTATGTATTTTTTCCAGCACGGTGTTATGGGAAAAAGACAGTCGCTATTGTGGCTGTAAAGGTGGTTTCGGTTCGGCTTGTATATGTATGTATGCACGAATTTGCGTTCGTGCCGTCCGCTGAGAATGCAATAACTTGTTTACAGGCATGTTCATTGCCAATTTACAGAGGAAATAAAAACGCTTATTTGAGTGTATTACCCGGTAGGAGGATCGTTGGCAGCCCACATATTTCATTGACCTGGATTATTAGAATTTCCCACACAAGGCTACAGAATTAACACCCCTGCTTTTTTTTAGGAAAGACTGCAACGAGGCCTTTAATGTCCACGGTGTAAGAGTGCTTTATTAACGTACCGTTTGTTTCGCAGCTGCGGGGAAGCAAGAGGGGGGTGCTTTTCATGAAGTATATTCATTGTAATGTGTACTTACGCTGTCTTCGGAATAGCAAATAACATCGCTTCTGTGAAAATTATGCAGCTAAACTGGGGTGTGTTTAAATGACCTCAAGATGTAGGTTCCTTAAGGCACATTTACAAGTAAAGCACACTCTCTTCACAATATCGCCTTAAATTATTTTTGTTGGTGTCCTTTATCCAGTGGATAAAATCTCAATACAGAGGGGACGGCGGGAGGGAGGGTGGCCCATTGGGATGTTCGGCCGCTCCCTTGAATGTTTTGAAATGAAACAAACGTCTCTCTATTCATATAAAACGATGTTGCATTTGCCCTACTTATCATTAGCCCGTGAGAAGAAGTTCCATTTTATTTTAAGGTTTGCGGCATGTTCGATTTGCATTCCACTTTTTAATTTCACGTTTTCAATTTCAATGGCCATTGAGCCGGCTGTCATCCGAAGGTCATCATCTCAAGCGTGCGCGTGTGTGGGTTTTTTTTCGCCCGTGTATTTATTTATTTTGTATTTATTTCCCAACCGCCGCAGGTGTGAGTACACAGCAGCTGTGCTTAATTTGTAAAGGTGCCCGATTGCGCGGCGTTCTCGGAGGAATCGAACGCGCCGTAATGGGAAAACGGATGACGGTTTTGTATTGTGGCTCATTTGATTTATTTAGCAAAAGCCAACTTGATCGTGGCTCATTGGCCCAGTGCCCCCCCGTCCGCCCCCTCCCTGTGACGCACAAGTCACCCTTTCGTGAAGCAATCTGTAGGATAATGATTATTATTATCAACCCCGTGCGTGCGTGCGTCCGTCCGTGCACGCGAGAGCAAGCGCACGTTTTTTGCCGCTGCTGTTGTCCACGTGCAACTCGGGATTATATTTACCCGCAGTTTAACAAATTAAGAGAACACGGTCGGCAAACGCGTCCGCAACGGCTAACCTTTCATAGATGCCTAACCCCCGCAGATCCTTTTGACACCTTTTTGTAAATTACTTACTGCTCTTTGGACTGCAGATTTATTTAAATATATGTGTTGATTAAAACTGGAAATAAAATCTCATGCACAGAAGAGAGTAACTCAATGTTTTGGTCGGCTGGCCCTTCTCAGTTTTTTTCTTTCTCACCGCCTAATGAAGGCCAGTCAGCCTGTTGGAAGAATTGCATTTTTACATTCTTTATAGCAAGTGGGAAAACAAATTGCTTTAATCAACCTATATATGATTGCTGAAGTAGCAAGCAACCAACTTAATGTAAATTCACGTGAATAAATCAGCCTGTATTGAGCAGACAAGGGACCGCTTGCAATAGTATATAGCCACAGGCCAGCAAACACCTGACCAGTGTAATCATTAACACAGCCACACGCCCAAACCCAGGGACTTTTGGTCGTGGCCCATTGTCGGAGCAGCAAGAAAGGGCATTTGCCAAAAACATGACCCTCCTAACATTTGTTTATAAAAAAATTCTGATAAGTCGCCGAACATAATTAGTGGCAAGCTCTTTCTACTATCGAGGGAAATGACAACAACTACACAAGAGTGGCTTTGTGGTATAAAATGGAGAGTTTTAGAACTTTAAAGTACTTCAGTTGGATTTTGACTTAAAACTTTCGTGACTGCAGGAATTCATATTCTGTGGTTCTTTTGGTAAAGTCATGTAGATAGAAAAAATAATTTAAAAAATGAAAATAAAAGTGAATACGTGACTTTACCGAAAGAACCATAGAATACTTCAGTTGGAGTTTCCAATTTACGCTTGGACTCACTACAAGTTTAAGCTTATTCAAATACATGCTCCAATAACAGTCAACCACATGTATAAATAGGTTAACCAACTGAAAATGAGAATAGGTTTTTCCCCCCTTTTTTCTGGCAACAAAAAAAAACACCTTTTACAAGGAATCATGTCTGCATTAACCACAATACTTGTAGTCGGAATGCAAACAAAAAACATTCTGATAATATATGCATTGTCTTTGAAACTGATTGGTCCACACCAGAGACAGGTTTCTTTGTCTCAAACGGTGTTAGACCAGAGGACGGCAAAAAGACAACGCACTATTAGAGTAATGAGAGCTCGGGTGGGCATCTACATCATGGGACCTCCTTTGCCAGTACCAAAATAAATGTATAAACTTGCAAATGCAAACTGCGGAGCAATAGTGTCGCGGTTATCGCACTGCGCTGCAAACTTGCTGACACGAGTTCGATTCCCGCTCACAGGCAAAACCTGTGACAAATAATTGAAACCAATTCTGGGCCTCCTCTCGGCCAACTCAGCCTTCAATGAGTACCTGGAACAGTACGTAATCATGGACTTTGGGGAGATGGAGGTAGCCGTGCGTGGTACTGGTTACACCATCCTATTGTGTGCTTTGCCGACCTTAACAGGTGCTCCGTAACAGCACGAGCTCCAACATTCTATCAACGGCTGTATTGAGGGGCTTTGTTCTTTTGTAACGCTGCTGCTGTCCCCCCCTCCCTTTGCCGGGCCCCACAGGCGTGAGCCACAGCGACCACGGCAGCACGCCGACCGTCATGGGCGTGCGCTTGCGTCCCGGCCAGGGCCTTGTGTCGGAGCAACGCGAGCGCTGGGAGCGCAAGCGCAACAGGACGGCGCGCGAGCTGGTGCAGAGCGAGCAGCAGTACCTCCACCACCTGCAGCTCGTCGTCACTGTGAGCAACCAGGCGCTGAACGCATGCGTGCTTTCCTCCTCCGCGTGGCGTTCTCCCTCCTCCTCTTCCTCCTCCTCTTCCTCCTCCTCAGGATGCCGCCGTGGCGTTAATGGGGGCAGCACGCGATCTCTCAGCGCGGCATTTGACACAGTAGGCACGTTTGTTTAAATGGCCTCTGTCCACCTGCCAGTAGAAATGGGGTACGCCCACAGTTCGTCGATTGGCAGGTCCACGCCTGGTGGGGTTAAAGTGTGGGCACATCCACCTCTTCCAAGATCTGTGGTCAGCGTGACGGAGTAGGCCAACAAACTAGAGGGGGCTTCTCTGGATGTTCCCCCTGGTGGAGGCCCTACTGCTGTCAGTGGTGTGAGGGGGCAATTGCAAGCGCTTCACCATGAGCACCCTTTAGCTTACACTACTCCGCACATATTGGACATCTGTGAAAAAGAGCTTCATAGCTCACTGGATTCCTCCAGGCCAAATAAAGATTTTGATTCTGTGTCATCGGGTGGCTCGTCAGTATGGGTAGGATAAACATCGACATTGGTCATCTGTCACCATCAAAGGGGACATAATGGCTATTCAGAATGACATGGCGCGAGACCTTGTCAGATTGCAGAGAGATTCTTGGCACTCGTAAGGTTGTAAATGCAGGCCACGTTGCGCTGAGCGCTGGTACAATTATATCCACTGTGATGAATATCAAAAGTCGTCCTATGGAGAGGCTGGCCCTCGTCAATGTGGGATTTCCTTCACGGTCACGGGGCCACAAACGGTAATCGAGCGTTGCTCCTTGCCCCCATGTTGTGCATACATCAGATGGAGAAGCGGTCGTAGAAAGCATTGCGCCTAAATGCACCACACTCGTGAGAAATGTTCATGAGGATTATAAAAGGAGGTCCCAAGCTTTTACCGTTCAAAGTCAATGATCAGAACTACAATTACTTTATTGGATAGAGCAGCTGAAAAGTTAATTAAATTCAAATACATGTCTAGGAAATATAATAACCGTTAAATGGCACTTTTAGCCTTCGAACTTCCAACCGTTATCATCCTTGGTAAATCTTATTGACGAAGACACTGGACTCGCTTTTGTCTTGATGAGTGCCATTGTGATTTTCCTAAATCGGCACTGGCTTGTTGGATAATGCCAATGACACGAGCGGGGAGTGGTTGTGCATTGTGTCAACCACGATCTGGTAGTAAATACTATGAAACAAAGAAAAAGCACGGCAGCATTGGCAATGTTCTCTCCCCATCCAATTATGTCCTAATTGTGCCTTCAATTAAAGTAATGGTGTTTTTAAGAAGTTGGCCTTACAACCACCCTTATTGTTGGCAATTTGCTCTTATTGACTGAAGCGATAGATTATTGACTCTGATTAATCATTGCAACACTAATCACCGGTGCTCTTTTAAAAATATTTAATTTTCAGTTTACAGCAAACGGCACTTGCTTTTATACTTCCAAAGCGAAATTTCAAATTTTATGTTTCTGGACAAAGCCAGCCCTCTTTAAAAAAATAAAACCTTTTAAGATTACATGTGGGTTCGACCGGATTTGCAGAATTTTTTGTTTCTTTTTCCCGTTTTACTGCTTACAGTGAAGACTTGGAAAACGAGGCTCCTATATTTCCAGGGTTATATAGCCCCAAGCGTGTGAGCCAGGCATTCCCACTCTCCACCTAACCCCTAATTCTGGCAAATGCTGAACAAAATGAAAAGCCCACACACCACTTCGTTGGATACCCCAGGGCAAAGTGGCAGCACAGGTTGGGCATGTGAAATGTGGACCGTTTCATATTGTACAGAGGTGACTCATTTAATTCCTATTCCACCTCCTTTCTCCTCCCCGCCCACTACAATCCACTCACCCACTCCCCTGGCCCCCAGGGTGCATGCCTGATCTCTTCAAATAGCACATTAATACGGCGCTTTCATGGTTAAAATTTACATAAGAAACATCATCAGTGAATGGATATGTTTCAAATTATTTTAATTTGAACGTCTTTGTTGCCTCGTTAAGTGTTTTAATATTGTAGGAATAAAGCGTTTAAAGGAATTGGAACCAATAGTTTTTCAATTATTAGGAAAGGCCTATCTGCCCAAGCATTGCCTTTGTAGTGTAGTGGTTTTGGTGCTTAGCATTTTGTTTTTCGAAATTTGATTCACTTTCACCCATATGTGTGTGCTTTTATACACGCTTGACTTGCTTTGCCCATCATTAACATTTGTCTTCTCTACCTGACCTTGACCTCCTGAAGGTTGACTTAGCAGAAAATGGATACCTAGAGCACTGCTTTACAGTAATGGAGTGGCAAAGACGGCTGGCCTTACGTGGTGCTGACTCGTGAACACCCCGGCTTGTTTGCGAGCACCCCTTTAGAATAGTCCTCTAACACCCAGCATAGGTAGCAGGTGAAGGTGCAGCCCTGCAATTACTTTCTCATTCCACTGCTTGAGGGAAGGGCCTCCACTAGAGAAAGCTGTCGGAGCTCTTCTAGAAAGCATTTGGCCTTCTATACCACGTTGACCAGACATCTTAAAATAGGGGGGGCATGTACCCACGTTGTCCCCATTACACACGACCTGCCGATCAATTAACTGTAGTGCACCCATTGGTTTTGCTGGGTGGACAGAGGCGGTAGTTTTTAAGAAACTTGCCCATTGTGTTAACTGCCGTGCCGGGAATTTGAATCGATGACCTTCTGGATTGCCGTTCCAATGTTATAACCAACACACCATTGGTACTGTAAATACGCTTTCTACCATCGCAAAGTGTAGATATGTTTGTCTGTTGTGGGAAATTCCATAGTCCGTAGGCAGGAGCCAGGTTATCCTTGAGACGGACTCTTTACCGCTAAGTGGCGCTCATCAGGTGGCATTTGTTTTACAGACCCTGGAGGAATGAGCAGTCTCGTGGAGCGTGACCGAGATTTGAACTCATGACCTTTAAATAATGAGAGGCCACTGCCATACACTGCTGTACGTACGTGTGGCCCTAAAGCATTGTCACCATTGCGCAGAAATGCATGCGGACAATTTGAATGCTCTAATCGAAATCGAGTAGAATGTCCATTGTGAGTGAACTGCTTCGCCATCAGCAGCCATGATCCATCTACTGCTGGGTGAAGGCCTCCCCGCAGCATCGCCAAGCCTCCCGTGACTTTGCAACGCATCCATCTCGCTCCGACACGTACGCTGATCTCGTTGCTCCATCTCCCCAGTGATCGTTCTCTCCGGCACATTCCCTCCGCCGGCTGCCTTTCCATCGATAGTTTCACCCATTGGCTGTTGTCCCTTGGGGAGTCCACACACCTCGAGTCTCTTCTCTGAGTTCTAAACCCCTTTGCTTCCCTGCAGGCTCCTCCTCTTGAGTAAAAATTGCTTTTCTCTTGTCAAGGGTCCAGACCCCTTGGCTTCTCTTGGGAGTCCAGGTCCCTCGGTGGTTGTGATGTTACATGTGGCATGCGCGGTGTCACGCCTTTTCCGTTCCAGTGAGCTTGGAGAGGGGATGACGTAATTTGGGGAGATTCTTTATATTTTTTAGGTTACAATTTTTTTAATGTAAACTGAAAAATGTTTTTTTTTTATTTGCTCGCTATTCTAAGCTTTCACTACGTTATTTTGAACTCCTTAATTACTTGGGTACTATATTGTTCCTTGGTACACCGGTCTCACCAGTATAATTAATGGTCTCTACAGTTACCTGGTGTTCATTAAAGTATATTGATAAAATTATAATATATTACGTGTTCATCTCTGTGAGAGGGCCCATCTTTCTCTTGCAGCACAGTTGGCCACGTGCAGTGCGAAAGAAGTTCAACATACATGCATGCAGCTGGTGTTGAATCTTTGAATGAAATAATGCTTCATTAATGGGATGGCTTTTCAGACACTTTTGAATCCATTGCGCCCATTGATGTTCTAATTGTACAATCATCGTCATGTCCTGAGACAAAATCGCTGCCATCAGGAAACCGCCCACTTCGTGTCGGAGAAGGGCCCCGCAGGAAGACATCAGAACTTCTTCTGAAGCCACTTCAGTCAGCCTCTTATCCACTCTCAGGGCACACTTTTAAAATGCCGTGCAAATTGTACGCCGCATAACAATCAATTCAACGCTTTTCACGTCCATAGCTCACATTTATGAAATTAGTTATGAACCAACAGGGCCGCATCTTTTGTTCGGTAACCATTGATAACTTTGACTCGGTCCACTGGAGGACCTGGATTAATACCGGACTGCTGCAGCATTTTTCCTTTACCTCCTTCTGTCTCGTTAATCCCAGGGTTGTTGTGAAGTTGACACCTGATCACCACGGTTCTGCTCTTTTAGTGTTATCATCACCACCGTCTGGATATATTTTCTCCATTTAAACCATTGACATGTCATTCAAAGGCCAATTTACTCTCATGACCATCACTACGTGGATTGATTAATTTAATCGTACATATACCACGTTAAAATTTACGCCTTCGCTTGAAGGTGTGCAATTGAAACTCTGGGCCCGCTCTTTGTCTTTATTGTGGTAAAAAAAAAGGGATGTCACGGAAGCTTTAAACCAAGTAGGCTTTTAATACCTTTCAATGCAGTGCCCTGCCCCTGCCGCCTTGATACTACTGTGAGACGTCGACAGATGACCACAGCATTGACCCCTTCACCCCAGCTTGCCTTTTGAGGCTGGCTTGTGTAAGGTGGCTCTGTAAATGTGATGATGGTGTAGAGTGTGTGAGTGTGTGTGTGGCGGTGGGGAGCGCTAGTGTAGCGGTTAGCGCGCTGCGCTACGAACCCGGCGACTCTGAGTTTGATTTCTGCTCACAGCCAACGCCAGTGACGATTATCTGCATCAGGTCATGGGCCTCCCCTAGGTCGACTCAGCCTCAAATGAGTACCTGGTGCGATGTGTGGTAAACACCGCCACTGGGGAGACAGGCAGGCAGATGTGGTGTTGGTCACCCCACCCCCTTGTGTGCCATGCCGGACTTCATAGTTGCTACTCGCTAACAGCACTTGCCCCAACAGTCTGTGCAGGCTATACGAGGATTTTTTTTTCTTTGTGACCTACCGAGAATCAGCTGTTCCAGTAGCAGCAGTGGCAGACGGCAGTGCAACTTTCAGATCGTTGTGTGTGCAGCCTTCTCCGGAAGTATCGATGATTCCCACCACCTGTGGAAGACGTGTGTCATCCTTTGTACCCGAGGGGACTGCCCGCCACTGCCCGCCACTGCGGATGATGATGATGATGATTTGCAAAGAGAGGACAAAGCCGATCGAGGCAAAAGAAAACAGTTAACGTCATTAATCTCGTTTAGGAGGTAGGAATATTTGGACCGATTCTAAGCAACAGATGCAATTGCCTGGTGAAGCAACGTGATAAAAATGGATCTCAACGTAATTAAAGGTGATAGAACGTGTGTCGTGATAGACTGTGCGCTCTGAGGACTGCGAAATTAAAGAGCAGACGTCAAAAGGAATATTAAGGCCACAAGATGGAATTAGTTTGAATTTGGTAAAACTATTGGATAGTAATGAGTAGGGGAGAACATAAACACCATGCAAGATATCATTGACAACGGCAGCAAAAAATCAGCCAAACAGGTCAACTCTATGATTATTACTACAGGAAACAAGCTGCACCATTGTTTCATTCACCTAAATATGACATTCCAACGTTTGGTCCTGCTGACCGAACTGGAATCGGTTAATATGAAATGTGTTTCGAGCGAAAGCACGTAGTTTGCTCACAAATTAGTTGTGGCTGAGCGAAATTCACTGTTCTAGATTTGAAGTTTTCGTGACTGCAAGAATCGTGGATACCGAAAGGACACGCCTGTGTGTTTCACCTACATGACTTTACCGAAAGAACCAAAGAGTATGAAATTCACTGTCTTACCGCGAACTTTGTCATTGTAACAATAACGCAAAAGTGTTTGCATTTTAAACTAAAAAGTGTCCTCTTATTAAATTGGACAAAATATTTTTAATAGAGGCTTTTGAGAGGCATTTCTAGAGCAAATTCTTTTCTTAATTGTTTAAGGAACAATTCTTAATTTTCCCCAAGGCTGCGTGACCTTGGTAATATTCTGCGATGTGGTAATATTTTTTTTCTTCCAAACTCTGAATACATTAGCACTGGGTTTTGTTTGGCTTAACAGCTTATGCCTTTTTAATTGGTGCTTCTTAATTATTAACAAATACTGTAAAAAACAAAAACCTACTGCAGCTAATCATTCTGGTTCTAGAGAAACCTTGGCAAAGTGATTTGATGTTAATTTAAGTCGAGTAATTCTCTTGATAGATTAATAAACCGAATCGTTTTTTTTATGCAAAGGGAACCTTTCAGTCTTGGGACTAGCATTTATTGTTCCCCTAATCGGTTTTATGCCTAAGTGAGATGTTACGTTTTTTTAGCTTGCTTGTTTACTTTTAAATATTAGAAGTTTCTTAACCCATTATAAATTATTGGGAAAATGAGACGATCACAGTATAACTGAAGGTTTTTTTTGACCATGTAAGTGATTTATGGTACGGCGGTCGAGTGGTAGCACAGTTGTTAGCGGTACTGCTACGTACCTGGTGACCTAACTAAAATCCCCAGTCATGGCTAACGGCAGTGGAAAGTGATATCGGACCATGTTCTACTCCGACTGCCCGTCGCCACCCTCCCAGCATGGTCAAGTACACCGCGGAATCATACAGCGCTCTAAGTTAATGTTTATTATTTTAATTATTTATCCATCTGGGTGGCACTGTAGGTACGTTGAACTTCTTTCGCACCGTACGTAGCCAAACGTGCTAATCGGAGGTGCGTAGGAAGAACCAATAAACCGAACACTAAAAGCAGTTGTGAATAAATGAGTTTTCAATCTCGGCGTGAAGGCACTGCGATTTGAGTGCTTAATTCATATTCAGAATGTTACTCAATCAAATCCTTGTGTAAATGGATCTACTGCCCCCCCCCCCCCCCTCAATCATAATATGGGATCGCCATCACTGGCTCGGCATTACCATCAGAGATGAGGATAGCCCCATTGTTCATTTGAGCAGGGAGACAATTTGACGGACGTGCCAAACCCATGGCCCCTCCCAGTGTCCAGCAGCTCTCCGACCTCCAGTCACGGCAACAGTTGGGCAGGCTAAGGAGCAGTGGATGCTGAGAATCACTGGATACGAACCGGATGCCTCCTGGATTTAACCGTCGTTTACGCACAGCACACACACACATTCCGTTGGGTGATTCGGTTATCGCATGCCTGCTGACCAACATGGAAGATCGCAGGGGATACGCTGAGTGGTGCCGTGGTTGCAGGATGTTAAATACCTCACCTGGTATATAGGAGGCCGCGGGTTCGATCCCGACCCTGACACCTGTATATGTGGAGTTTGCATATTTGTTTCCCAGAGTGTAGTTTGTGTTCAGATTTCACGTAAGTCTGAAGAAGTGCGAAGATCAAGGTGTGTGTGTGTGCGCGCACGTCAAAACTGTGCCATTGAGGAGCGGTTGGGCTGACAGGATAGACGGAATGGAGGGAGAGCAAATTTTGTAAAACATGACAGCAACACAGGCATGTGGGAAACCTCATGTCCGTGGTGTTTTGTTCACGCAATTTGCACAGAAGTATCCAACAACAAAACGGACAAAATGTGCACGTGAATTTTCCGACAGGATTGTATTATGGGGGTGCCACGGATGCTGTTGAGCAGGTAAGGGCAGCTTTAACAAAAAAAAGAAGCCGACAATCATTGTCATGCTGGACTTCAATTTTCCAGGTATTGATTACCAGCTGATTGAATCTAGGACGTGATGGGGGTTAGGTTAGTAAGGAAGTGGGTATTTACGGAGACAATTTAGGACTTTTTTATGCTTTCATTATTTCTTTAAGCAATAGTGGCTGAGGCAATGCAGGTTGGGCTGTTAGGCCTAGGAATTAAGGAGTTGCTGCCAAATTGACACGAGTCGCTCCTTTAAAGAAAACAAAATAGCTTGTATAACAACAGCAACCGTAGTTCGCCACTAAGTGCCAGTGACATCCCCATGGCGCTGGTGCCAGGCTAGGTGCACAGCTTTCTCACACATTTGATTTTGTTTGTGCCATCGTACTGTTAGATACCTTGCTGCATACATGAGAAAATCACATCATATTGATAAACACCCGGGAAGAGAAATGCTTCAACTAATTAAATGTTTTATTCCAGCTACAAGACAGAATGTAATAAGGTTTACATGGAGCGGTTTGCCTTGTGTATAGAGATTGAATCATTATTGTATGTATGTTGAACTTCTTTTGCACCGTACATAGCCAACCGTTCTAATTGTCGTATTGATTATGTTAATATATCACGATGGCATACTTTTATATGGAAATTCTCAATTAGTCTTAATTCACTTTGAGCAGCATCCTCAAGAAGACGTTAGACCAGTGCTATGTTGAGTATAGACAAAGGAAGAGACTCTTACTTGCTACACTGCTGCATACTCACGGATTTGATCTTCTACATGCGAGACCTATGCATGATCTATCTAAACACGCAATCATGATTGAAACAATCCCTGTAAAAGAATGGCTGCATTCTATATAGCTGTATCTGAATCGAACAATCATCTTTATAATGTGCAATTCATACCACAGGGTCGCATAGGAGGAGAAGATTCTTTAAAATAAATACAGATAGAGCTGCAACCTACTTGCTGTTCTGCCATCCATTGCTATTCTGCCATACGTATGTTGAAATTCTTTCGCACCGTACATAGTCAACCGTGCTAATCGGAGGTGATCGCCTATTAGGTCTGCATGTTGGGTGCCTCGCATGGTGATGGATCGTGTGATCGACCAACCTCACATTTGTTTGCAGGTAGACATCTTCTGGATGCGTTTGAGTATATTGGTTATGAGCTGGTGCGCTTGTGTGTGTGTGTATATCTCTGTAGTATTTTGTAGATATCATGAATGCCAAAGGAACACTCCGCCAGGAAGTCAGAAATTCCATCTTCAGCACCGTCAAGGAAATCCATGCAGTGAACGGGTAAGAGATGGAACTTCAGTGGTTGAATTTTGATCTACGTTTGCAATGAATAATAAACTGTGGGTTTTTTCTTTTCAATTGACACAATTCTCGCCATTAACGATGTATAATGTTGAAGAACTTAACAAATCCGGCAAAAAACACTGTCCACAAAGGAAAAATATATAATAGGTGACATCTCGGGCAATGACCATGCTTCACAGCACATAGGCCAGAGAGGTTGGAGTCTAAGTGTCTTATATTCTTTAAATTTTAAGGCCCCAGTATTATGGACGAATTTGTTGAGTTATTTTGTTGTTTGTGCACTGCTGCTGCCGATGCGGTGTCACCAAACAACTCGTATAGACTGTCGGCAAAGAGCTGTATGTGAGCGGCTATTAATGCCGGCACGACGTGCGAGGATGTAGCATGGCAATCGCCTTGTTCAACGACTCCCGCTCATACATTATTACTGTAGTCGTAACCTTCATTTAACCCACTGAGACGCATGAGACGTCATCGTCTCGTTTGACAACTTGAGAAATTTGTGACGCGGTGCTGGCTTAGTTTGCCCATCATGTGCTGTACCACCCACTCGCTATGAGTAAATAATAAGTCATGCCTTGTTGTTCCGTTTACATTTTCAGGACATTCCTCAGTCATTTGGAGAAAAGCAACTTTGGATTGGGTTTTGAGAGCTTTTCTCTCTACCTGTTTCTTTACACCAATTACATCGACAACTTGGAGACATCTTGCAAAGTGCTGCAGGTACGAGGCGGTTTTTTATGGGATATTACATTCCACGCTGGCGCACACCGTAAGGCAGCAAAACAGAAAAAGATTCCCCGTGAAAGAAACCGTGCAGATCGTTGGTCCATTCGCTTTTGTATTCTGTAGCCTGGGCTTCACGCTCATTTACATTGCTACCATATTCATCGATTCACGATTGGAGAGAGCCCTGTGGAGAACATGGCTCCGGCTATACTGCTACGTAGGGTTCGGATTTTCTCTCCAGGGCGACTCTCACTGCAATAGCTTATTCGCAGCATTTCACTCAGTAAATTTGGTTTGTTCTAGGAAAGCTTGAGTGTCTTTGGCTTTTCACCAATAGAGATGTATTCGTGCAGTGAAGGTTCATTGAGTGTCAAGGGTTCTTTCAAGTGGTTCCAGTTTAGTTTTTTTTATTCTGTTTTCCTGCTGGAGAGAGAAAGAGGAGCGCTTGGAGAACTTAACCACTGGTGTGGCAGGAAGGACGGTTCGACTGCGCGCGGAGGGCAAGCCAGCAGCCCCCGCGTGCCGCTACTGCGCGTGCAACGGTGCTGTTTGCTCTTGCAGGTGCAGCTGAAGAAAAGCAAGGAGTTTGCTCGCTTCAAGAAGCTCCAGGAATCGCGACCCGATTTCCAGGGCCTCACCCTGGAGCAGCTGCTCCCACTGCCAGCCCAGCGCCTTGTGCAGTGAGTGACGGCCCACAACCCCCTCATGTCTCGTCTACGCTGGCCCACTCCGCCGATGATCAAGGGTTGGTGGCAGTTTGGCTAGATTCGCTTTTTTCTTTCTTTCTTTCTTTATTTTTTGCACGATTCGGGGAATGTTGTTTTGTCAGCCACGTGCCTTTGCATGTGTCAAGGGCATTTAAGCATACAATATTATATACACACACTTCATGTTTGTATGTTTATATGGATGTCATATGTGTATGTATGTATGTAGAGGAGAGATTTATTAGCGGTTTAGCGCACTGTGCCACAATGTCAGGGATCTGAATTTGAGCTGGATGAGTAAGGCGGCACCTTGGAGTGAGACGTCCTTTGGCGAGGATGTTAAGCGTGCTGTGCCACCTGCTTAACGAAGTTAAACATCCTGTCCTATGTGTAATATTGGCTCTTGTCCCCAATTAACAATCGTAGAATTAGCTTGTTTTATAAATTGTATTTATAGTTTTTCAAATGAGCTCTCTGCACTTTGAAAAGTTTCCTTTTTTGTTAGTGTATTTACATAGTGAAAACATATTCCTAAAAGAAAAAATGTTGACTTATATTTGCTATTTTGTAAATATTACAGATTTTTTTAATTAAGATATAGCATATTTAAATTGCCATAATGCTTTATAATTCGCGTCTGCATTGCCATTATTCATTGCAATTACATACTCCTATTTATCGCATTGTTGAACATTAACATTTAAACAAAATTATTACGTGTGGGCTTATTAATAAAATGTGGGTATTTGTCACATTTAATAATCAATTATGCAGTCAGTTTGCAATCTGTTAATGAAGTTACTTCATTGGACAATTTCACAGCTGGACACTTTTCATTTAAAATGCATTGCCTATTTGATTATAGAGTCCAAATTCAGTTTTTTCATCAGAAAGGAGCTCACTGTGTTGATTCTAGTGCACATTAATGAGCAAATGTGCCTGCTTTTCACACGTATATTTACGTGGCCATCGCGCGCGCGCACACACCCGCCATCGTTCCAATCGTTCCAATCTCCGCATTCGGAAATGAACTGCTTTACACGGGCTCGCAAAATTAGCGCATTTTAAAAATGCGCCCGGCAGTCACCGACACAAGCCAATCCCCACAGCCCCGCGATGCTTGGCGAGCCAAAGAAAGTTACGGTCTCCCTTTTGTTCTTCGCGGTAATCAAGCAAAAGCAGGTAATGGCTTTCAAATAGCTAATTACTTTGGCCGGCCTCATTCGTGTCCAATATCGGTGTCCTTGAATGAGGTCAGCCATGGTGTTCGTTAAGCCCGTAGTTTATCTGCCTCGTGTCGATGCTGCCCGTCTTGGCGACACGACCTTGAGGCTGTCAGTCTGTCGATAAGCGATCGCCCCCCCGCGGGGCTCGCCCGCAGGTAGCTTGACAGCGCCCTCCACCTAATTAATCTCGGAGGTAACGGACTGGCGGAGAACGGCGGGGCGGCCGCCGCCATATGTCGCGTCCGCGGGCCGTCTGCCGCGGGGAGGGCCCCGCTCGGCGGTCGTCGCCGACCGGGGGCAAAAGTGCGGCTTCGGCTCGGTTCGAACCCGCCCGGCTGAGATACGGGGGCAGATGCCGGCCCTACCGTCGCTGCTGATGCTCTCGCTGCTGTTGCTGCTGTCAGGCAGGCTGGGCTGCTAGATCAGTCTGCCACAGTCGGATGCACTTCTCTCTGGGTGAGCGTCACCGCAGTGGTGTTATTATTATTTTTGTGATAAATGAACGGACGTTTGAAAGTCGGACACACCTGGGTGCTCCGGTGCCCCCAAAGTGATTCACCACGGGTGGCGAGGGTGATTTTTTTTTTTTGGGGGGGGGGGGGGTGGAGAGGCGTGTTTGGTAGGAGTGGGCGGGTCGCGTCTGTCAAGTTAGCGCTGTGCGTGCGAGTACGCTTACACCTGGCTGACGTCCTCAAAGTCATCGCGCGCTGCCACGGCCAGCAGAATCGCTCAGGACACCGCGTGACCCCAACCCAGTTACGAGCCATGCTCCGCCTACCTCGTGTCCAATCACGTAATGCCCTTCTTAGATTGACCTAAAAAAAAACTAATTCTAGACGCAATTAAAAATATTTATACATTTGCATAAAGCCCTCAATTAAAGTTTTAAAGGAATCAATGTTTTAAAAATGGAAACCAATTATTTATGGGAAGAGCGGTAAAGGATATGAGTTTATAAAATTTGCCTGTCATGCATGTCAGTTAATACATTTTTGAATAAACATATTAATTAAAACGTATGGTCTATTACATGAACAATTCAAAATCAAACATCGACATTTTAACAGTAACACAAGGCTGCATTTCTGTTCGTGATATATGTATTATTTTTACTGTGTGTATAAAATATGTAAATGTGTGTGTGTATTTATATCCATTGCGCAAATGAATACCGCTTCATGGCAAGTCGACTGTTCCCGTCCTCTGGAAAGAATGATGTTTGCCCTGGTAACGTGGAATTTCGACCAGTGGACCAGGGCCATCAACGGAATTGACTAAACCCTCCCGAGCTGTCTTGGATGTGGACGTACTTAGACTTTTTGACCGGTGGACGTATTGTATCGCGTGTCTACATTGAAGGACATGGCAATAAACAACACGGGCATTGTGTTTTGTAACACGATCGTTTCGAGCACCGGTCCTGCAAAACTTCCACTCGCCTGCATGACCGCTCGCCACACCAAAGCGCAATCGAACAAATAAATGGAAGCGCGATATTCTATAATCCCTGGAATCCCCTTCTCGCAGCCCCTCTGCCGTAGGACGGTTTGGCGAGCTGTGTGGCCAGTGTCACAGACATCACCGGCTGACTTAAGCCGTCCCCAGGGAGTGAGAGCGGTCGCTCCCACCCGTGTGCCCAAGGGAACACTCTGCACTTGGGAAGGTCAACAAAACTGCGAGCTGCGCGCACGATAAAAAGTCTCGTCACGCACCTAATTGCATTTGATAATCAGCGAATTAGTGAATTAGCGTCTGCCGCCGCTGCCTCCATGTATATTAATTAGGGCGATGCGTGGAAACATTACAGAGTTCTCTCCGATCGAGCAAAGTGCCCCTGCTGTCAGTGTTAAAAGAAATTCGCCATAAAGGCACTAACATGTGACATCGGCAGCTGGAAGCAGAGACGGGCGCAGCAATTTTAGACACTTGCATATTCATAAATTAAAAAAAAGTCTTTCTCCGCTGTTTACATTTTATGGGTGGACATGATGGGCACTTTTAAGGTCAATCAAAGGCGTGCATCATGGTTTTTTTTGTTGCAACTTTATAAAAAAAAAATTTTACATGCTGCCGAGACTTAATGCTGGGAAGTGAAAATGAAGAGTTATTGCCATGGTAATATTTTCGGACTATTTAATTACATTTATTAAAAAGTGATGATTAAGATGCATATTTATTGGGCAATAGGATATTACGGGCATGCCTTTTTTATCAGCAGTGGTATCCGTGTTTGTGCACTGCGCTACATTCCCATTGAACCAAGTTCAGGGTGTTGGCTGTGCACATTGGTGGTGTGTGCGCTATCCGAATCGGTCCGTAAACTTTTCCTAGGTTGACTCAGTCTTAAGTGAGCACCTTTTGCAGTGCATGAAAATCATTGGCACTTGGGAGAGAAAGGCAGGCTGTGCATGGTTTCTGTGCTGGCCTTAATAGATGCTTGTTGCCAGTAAGATACAAATAGGGTGGTCTTATGCGTTTCCGATTATCACTGTTGGCTACGTACGGCGCGAAAGAAGTTCATCATACGTAGCATTTATATATTTTCGTTATATAGATAAATATACTTAATTTAATACAGTCTTCAATAGCATTTTGTAGTTTATTGTGATGTTTTATAAACCCCCTCTGCTGTCTGCCCGGCAGTGAAATACATTTCAGTTATTTGATTGACAGGACGTCTGAGTAGCGTGGAAGTTGGCTAAATATCCGATAGCGGAGGCTCTCACGTCCGCTGTGGCGTGAGCAAGGAATTACAGGGCCGCACCTTTCACATTTTTGGCAGCCACTATTTGGATGTCTTAGCAGTGGGTAGGTATGCTCCTATCTGGATGTTATTCAAGGGATGGCAATGTCCTCCTTGAGCATGTAGCAATAATGGCCGCGTAGAAGTTCGGATTGTTAGCGTTGAAGATGGCGAGCAAAATAATTGCATATGAACTCGAAATGTACAAAACGAGCTGGATTTGCAGCCGCCCGTCGTGCTATTTGTCATCTTGCCAATTGTGTGTATTGGTCGCACAGCTCTCTGTTTGTTCCATAATAATCCACGGAGAGCACCGCAATGTCTGCCACATGCAGGTCTTATCTCGGGAGCAGATGATTGTTTGCAACAACAAAAAACCTACTATTAAAGTTGCACTTGGAATTGGAATAAATAAAGCGTGAATGCAGTGTGTGTCACAGTTTTGTATGTGCATACAGGTGCTGATATAAATGCGCGTGCAGGCATAATTATTGAGGATTAAGTGCCCAATCAAGTGTGCCATTTGGATACAAACGTTTGTAATGCAGTTAGATTATCTGATAGGTCTGCTAGCGAAGAAGGATGTCAACATATCTTTATATCGACAGACATAACTACAACATTGTAATGTTTGGGCTAGTTTTGGTTAAACTCGAACAAAGCAGCCGCAAAACAAGATAAGTTTTGTTCCACGTGTATAGTTGCATGTATGTTAAATTTCTTTCGCACCGTACGTAGCCAACGGTGTGAATTTGAGGTGTGTGGGGGGTGGGACAACAAACTGTTCACAAAAAGCAGTGAACTCTGGAATACAGGTCCTTGGCATGTAGGGGAAGCCAGGTCTTTCATGCCAATTTAGGATCGATCACGTAAAAAAAAGTCTGTGCGGTACCTGTTTGGCTGCACATAACGCGGTACTTATTTTATTGACCCAGGCAGATGATGGGCTGCATTGGGCCCAAACTGCAGTTTTTCAACTGCCAACTGCCCGATTGTGAATTGCGTGCCATTAACTATGATGCCACTTGGCCGGTTGTACAAACAGAAGTAATATCATAAATCTGTATTAGCATACCAATTGTCATGAAACAAACATGCCTTGACTACTTTTGTGTAAGTATTCAGCATGTAAATTTTGGAAATAAAAGTTTAGTATTCACGGATGCCCTTTTGTCTTATCCAAGGCAAGCAGTCTTTTTTTTTACCGACGATGTCATGTGATTCTCATCAAATTAAAATGCAAATGCATGATTGAAGCGATATTCTGTGGTGTGGTTACACTTGATTGACTGATATTCAAGCAATTTATAAGCAAACACATCAGCTTTCATGCCGCTTGAAAGGCTTTCCATGCAGTCAGATTCCATTTACCCGGGATGTCTGTCTGTGACAGTGAAATGGCTGCGACGCATTAAAAACCTCATTACCAGCGAATAAAGATGACATTTCTACAAATGGAAAGGGCCCCTTCCGCGAGTAAGAATTCCCGCCGAGCGATCGTGCAGGTGCCGTGCGGAAATGCCCAAATGGAGGCCGAATGAAACTGCCATTATTGGCAGTCTGGAGTTTGTGCTGTGCGTGCATAAGGCCAGAATGCCGGAAAGCTGGGTGACCAACCTGACCCGAGGTGACCAACTGCGACGGCTGATGAACCAAAATTCAGACAGCGACTTGTAAACGACACCTCTTTTTCTTGTTTTTTTCAGGTAAAGTCACATAGAAGGGAAATAATAAAACTAAAGCATAATTAAATAATTATCACAACGTTTCGGCTACAACGCAAGGACGGCTGCTTGCGTTGTGGCCGAAACGTCGTGATAATTATTTTATTATGTTTTCTTTTTATTATTTTATTATTTCCCTTCTACGTGACTTTACCGAAAGAACCAAGAAGATGAATCCCTGCAGTCACGAAAGCTTTAAATCGAAATTGTAAATGACACCTTCACTTCATCTGCCCCTGATGTGTTTGTGTGTGTGTGTGTGGGGGGGTGGGGCACGGGGCATTCATTCATTTATTATCCACACAAATAACCTCCCTTTATATGTGTTATAAAGTGGATAATCGGATTAATTTACTATCACTCCAGAATTAATTTCATTTGTGCAAATCCTTGGATAAGACTTTGAGTTTATTTTATTTGTTTCACGGAATAAACCCTTTAAGCCGGTTGGCCGGTTATTTTACAAGGGAGATCCGTGGTGCATGAGCACAGCAGCAACAAGACAAAGACAAAAACTGTCAATATTGCAGAGAACGAGTGCAGAGTCCTTGAGGAATATTGCACAATTATACAAATAAAGGTATTTAATAGGATACAGGATTGAGGTCGCACTTCCAGGAGACAATTCCTGGGTCACTCATTTCCAGCACGGATAATACGATGGATTTGCCTCCACTGCTTCTGATTCATGGAAAGCCACAGGTAATATAATATAAAATCTCGAGACTTCTGGGTTCGCTGTTATAATCAAGTAGTCATAATAATTTCGAATGTTTTTTCCTTGCAGGTACAAGCATTTTGTGCGGGATCTCGCAGAAAATACAAACCCCGACAGTGGCGAGTTTCGGAAGCTCACAAGTAAGTGGCCTCAACTGTGTTGCGCAGTCAACAAAAACAAATAATAGAAAATCAAAGCACGTGATTTTAAGGTGGCCGAAGGACCCGGGGGACACCAGTGGCAATGTCAGGCCACTCAGCCTGCTCCCCATGAGATTCTGGGTTCAAGCCGAGGATGAACTGGTTTACAATGAGCCCAGGTCCGCCCCACTTACGAGCTCTCGTGCACAGCTGCTTCTTCGGTCTCCACCGAGTCGGTGATGAATGTGCTGAAAGGTGGCCTAAAATGGGTCTTTGTTAATTATCACTCATTCGCGCTCAGCACTGTAAGTACTATTTTTATTAATTTTAATTTAATTTTTTACCTACGTGACTTTACCGAAAAAACCTAAGAGTATGAAGCCTTGCAGTCACGAAAGCTTCAAATCTAGAATTAACTAAGTACTGGCACACTTCTCGTGACTAGATTTGAAGTTTTCGTGACTGCAGGGATCCGTACTCTTTGGTTCTTTCGGTAAAGTCACGTAGGTATAAAATAAAATGAATTAAATCACGACGTTTCGGGCGCAACACAGCGTCCGTCATCAGGTGGGACAATCACAGCAGAGAGGTGACTATTGCACATGAATTGGCTCGATGGTGAAACAAAAATTAGATTTACAGACGAGGTTCAAATTATTCCAGGAGGGGAGAGAAATACACTCATTAGTCTGACCAGAGGCCCCAAGTCAATAGATTTCGCGTGGTGCTGCTTTGTATAGCCCATTGGCACTGTTAAAAAAATAAACTGAAACCATAAAAAATAGGCTCGTAACAGGCTTTAATCTTCCGATTAATCTTCCTATTAACCTTCCAATTTTCCGACATCAGGAATCGGTCTGCTTAGTTATTTTTGATGTATGGTAGTGATGTGCTAGAAGGGACACTAATGGGCTCATTTAAACCCTTTGTTTATATTTTTTAAGGGCAGTGACTTGTTAGAATCACCATGTTTTTGCACTTCACTGTGTGTGTGTGTGCACGTGTGCATATTTGAGGGACACTAATGGGCTCATTGGTTTATGCATTGCATTACAATCCCAGAAACCTCGGTCTTTTTCCTGTTGCAATGGAATCTTAGTCGAGATTTGGCCTATTCTAGGGTAACTCAGCCTCATGCGAATGTTGGTGCTGTCATGAATAAATCGGAAGTGGAGGAGGCAGCAGTTACTAAGTGTTGGCTGGACCCTGCACTCATGCTGTGCCAGCCTGAATAGATGTTTACTAACTAATCTTCCTAATTGTTAATCAGATTACACAGGAATCTTCATCTTTGCATGTCTCGAGTAATCTTGCACCATCAGAAAGAATAAAATCCAGCGAAATGTTCAACCATTTTGTTATGAAATTTCATTTGGGACAGGACTAAGAGAATGGCTACAAATGATGAGGATAATTTTCCAACACCCTTACATTTTGATGAGCAGAATTTTATACTTTCCATTGGACATCAAAATTATTGTTATGTCAAGAAAACATGAGCTTTTCTCTCCTTCCTCTGCTTCACTTTTATGCCATAGATCGCAACTCGGCTCTTCTTTAGACCCATTCAATCTGTACTGCACTTGGCGACTGTATCCTGGTTTTGTTTTTCTGTGTTTGCTTTCTTACAACAACAACAAAAACACACACAATCTTAAACAACGTGTAGATTCTAGATTTTAAGCTTTCGTGACTGCAAGGATTCATATTCTTAGGTTTTTTTCGGTAAAGTCACGTAGGTAAAAAAATAAAAATTAATAAAAGTAAAATAAAAATAAAATACAAATCACGAAGTTTCGGAAGCAACACAAGCATCCGTCTTCAGGTTGAACAGTCACAGCACGATAGCTGTATCTCACTTGATAACAGCTATCGTTGCTTCTGAAACGTCGTGATTTTTTATTTTATTTTTATTTTACTTTTATTAATTTTCATTTTTTACCTACGTGACTTTACCGAAAAAACCTAACAACGTGTAGATATCATTTTGCTTCCATTAACCCTATGTTTACAAAGAGAAGATGTTACAGAAATCACACAGAGACACGTCCATGCACGTGCGCCACCGCACACACTAAACTGGGTATTCAAACTCTACGGTAATCTATTAATGCTAATTAATGATAAATACTGTTTGATTACTTCGAAGAGCTTCTCTGTCACCCAATGGCTACTATTAAGTAACAATTCATATGCTGTGCATCAGATCTATTTTTTTAATGTAACCTGCATCAGGGCCCCATTAGTATAAAGTGTAGTCTCCAACTCCTATTACACTGGTCAACAAAATAAAGATTTTCTTCTTGCCTGGACTTTTGCAGCTGTTTTAGATTAATTTCAGGGTGCTGCTCTATCACATCTCATTTTATGCTATCGGCATACCCCATTTTCATTGATTTTACCCGAAATTAACTCTGTCACTTATGATTGCAAGTTGTTGCGAGTTAGTGACTGCTTTAGTCTTAAAATATGGTGCTGTATTTTTAGGATAGTGTGTTTATAATTTAATTTTATGTAGATATCCACATTTATTTAATATTTTTCTTCTGCAGTTTTTATTGAAAATGCAATATTTGATATCTCAAAAAACTGATGTGATAGACACAAACTGATGCCAGATTTGGAATCGGCACCCCAAAATTACCTTAGAAACCGTTGGAATACCTTATGCCAGAAAAAGTGTGACCAGTGTTATTTACTCTATCTCTGGCCTCTCTATTTGATCTAATATGAAGAAAGGTCATTCGTTCGTCTGAAACATGGCCGATTGTGTACCTATTGATACATGTGTTTCTATATTGAAGCTAGCGTAAGGCGACTTGAATTGGCAATGACCATGAGAAGGTGGAATTCCCACCACTGGCTGAGGGCAGCCATCACAGATGACCACTGTCCTCTTGCTCGTTTAAGCAAGGAGACACCTGCCACTGGACTTGTACACCTGTCACATTTCCTAGAGAGAGCATTTGGTTTTTTATTTCTTACATTTGTTTAATTTACAATTACCCCGTGGCTTTGAAGAAATGCTCTTCCAGAACTCCTTCAGCCAGCCCAGCATCATATCGTGTCACAGAATGGCCTCGGAAGATGACACTGCAGAACTACTACTTTTCTAAGGGCTCCTTCACTCCGGCTGTCTTAAGCTGAAACTAGGCTGCTCTTCTTCATGCTCTGCAAAAATGTGACTTATTGCATGTCATTTGCATGAATAGTTATTTGAGCCATCGAAGCGTGACGAGGCCCGAATTAAGTGAACTATATAGGTGATAGGGTTTCCTTGGTTGAAGGAAGGTGGGAGTGTAGTGGGCTGCACAGAGAAATAAACCTTATGGTGGTACGCCGGGGTACCATAGTACCCCGGCTCTCGCATAATGTCTGTTGATGGTCGGCGATGCGGCAATCGACTCATCTCGACGAGCTGCACACGATGCACCACTACGGTGCGTACCGCGAGCGTTCAGGGTTTCGGCGCAATCGTCCTCGCTGCGTTTCGACATCGCGGAGTGGCACTGATTTCGGACTGATTGGTACCCCAGTCGCGGAGTTAAGTAACACCCCTGGAACAAAAAAGTGTCCCAGAAATAAACTAATTAATTGCATCAGTCATTTTGTATTATTTGGTACCCTGGGGTACCGCCATAAGGATCGTATGAAGAAAACTCAAGATCAGATGGCGTGAAGGGAGGTGGAGGCAGACCTGCCATAGGACAGAGGACTCAAGAAGGAGCAGATGTGTTTGAAGCTGCCTTCGTCAGTGATTAGGCTGAGAGCATGAACTCCCTACACTGAGAACCTCGTTCTAATCACAGGGGATGCCTGGATTCAAACCCTGGATCTCAGCAATGCTGGCTCATTGAAACGTCTTGGGAACTAAGCCCTGCATCTAGCATTGCCAATGAATTTATTAATAAAGTCGTCATTGTCTGTTGGTTTTGAAGAGTGTTGGTTGACCAGCTGCTACTATTTTTAACACCGCTATGCGACTTCTTGTGAAATTGTGACGTGAAAATTGCAACAGTGGGGGAACTTGGCAGCAAGCCCCTTCTTTCGGGGATGTGACATTCCTTTGATTGATGATCACGCAAATTGGCTGTAGGCTTTCTGAAGAGAATGCTGGACCTTTCCGTTCAGTTAAGACACACAGTTATCACATCACAAAACAGCAAACAAACCCCTTCAGTTGCTCTAAAAAATGGGTTAACGGCCGTCTCGCAAGTGATTGGCGTAATTGAGTATTAAGTCATACTCCTCGTCATTGTTACCTCCTGGCAAATGTTAAAATGCTCCCAAAAAAGTGCAGGTTTGTGTCTAAATTGCTGAGTTAAATTCCTCGGTAAAAGTATGGTATTGGTGGGCAAGTGAATCCACAAATGATTCGGAATTTGCTAATTTCATTGCCCTGTTCCCGTGGTAGTCATGCAATCAGGCATCTGCCCGACTTAGGCCTGCCATTCGGTCACCAGTCTTGAACGCCGGCCATCTTCCCTTATTGCGATGTGTTTTTCCAGAGCCTAATTCTTTACACGGTCGTTGTGATGTTTCTAAATTGCGTTTGTTCTTCTGATCCATGGGTTCTACTTTTTGTCTTTCGGTGTAATTCCTCTAGCATGCATTCCTCCATGCTTATTGGTGCACCTTTCAGCTTTTGTTACATTTCTTTGTCGGTGTTTATGTTTCAGATCCATGTCATAGCAGACAATGTCACTGATTGAAAACTTTCCTCAGTTGTTCACATGAACGTTGCTTTCCATGATCAAATTCAACATTCCACAATAATGCCAAACTGCTTGGTGTGTTCTCTTTATTTCATAATTTTCTCTTTCTTTCATACATTTTCTGGCTTTTACATGCACGTAAACTTGTGTTTTACAACAACAACTGTTCAGCTAGCTTTTTGTACTCAACTTTTTATTGTTGATTATGTTTATCTTTCTCAGCTTTACATCCTTTGTTAATAGGGTTTTCCCCTTTTTTATGGCAACAAAACTGAAACCTTTTTACAGGGATTCATGTCTGCATTAACCACAATACGTGCAGTCAAAATGCAAAAAAAAAACATACTATGGTAATATATGCATTGTCCTTGAAACTGATTGGTCCACACCAAGGGATGGCTTTCTTTTGAGCCTCGACTCAATTGGTGCTCGACCAGAGGACGCCAAAAGGGGAAAAACCTATTATTATTATATTTTGGTACTGGCAAAGGAGGTCTAATGATGTAGATGCTTTGTTAAGTTAAAATTTTCTGTAGTCCATTCCCATTGGTTGCTATAACGAATGTTGACAGCAAATCTTCAGATTTGTTAACTTTCTCCATTTATGTTCATACATTTAATTTCACTAATACAGTTTTCGGAAAATACATTCAAATGTTGCTTTGAATAGCCTTGGTGAGGGCCTAATTCCTTCCCTGACTCCGCTGATTTCTCTTTTGTTACATTTGTTATGAAATCGCAATGTAGCTATGTACGAAATAAATACATGCGTATAATTGATATTTAACGAAGGCCTTGGTTCTGTGAGGGCTTTCATTTTATTTTCTATGAAAGTCATGCATAATGGTATTTGGTAATATTTTTTATAATTTCATTGAATGTGGTCAATGAAAGAAAGCGTGTGTAAATCAAGCTTGTATGGTTGGTTTGCCTCTAAAATGTCCATGAGTTTGTTCTACCAATGATTTTTGGTAAACATTTTTACAAAACTATGTTAGGCTAACACAATATGTAATTTTCCAGACCGGTTTTGTCTCCCATTTTATGTCGACAAATTATTGAGGCATCATTCAATGAATTAACAATTTCATTCCTGTGTAAGCTTTTAGAAAACACATCCACTAATTTCTATACGGCAGCTGGTCTCGTTTCTTTCATGATTTCTACAGATATTCCATCTGGTCCAGACATTCTTCCTTTGTTCTTAATGCGAAGAGCAGTGGTTGCTCAATAAAATGAAAACATGATTAACATTGTAGTGTAGAGGGCACTGAATGTGAGGGGGGCAATGTGAGAAAAAAATCTGTAAATTATCAACGAGTTATCTGAAATCGTTTAAAGCATGTTGAGGAAAAGGAAAGCTGTGGGAGTGGATTGTTAATAGCAATCAAACGACAATACACAGACCTCTTAAAACCAATGAGTATAGAGTGGAAAGAAATGATTCGCATTTTTATGAAAAAAAAGTTGGAAACAAGAAAAATTAATTGGTCTTTAAAATTTCCATCATAACATGCCCACAGCTGTTGCTGATTCAATTCTGCTGATTGGTCCATGGTGTGTGTCCCCATACTTTGTTCAAAGTACGGGAATGAACAGTGCTTGAGCGCAAGGCCATTATGAGATAGCACGTGGCCTTAGAGTGGAAATGCGGTAACCCACTCAATGAGGCACAGCACAACTCATTATAGTTCCGTGCCTGCATAACATCTGTATATATACAGTATATAGACATGAATTACACCTTGCAGTGTGGATTTATACTATGTATTGTGTATGTATGGAAGGAAAAAAAATCTCCCCACTTAAAATAAACATGAGACCAATGCATGTCGTCCAAGCTAGTGGTGGAAATTCTACAGTTCTGTGATGGAGGTCAGTCGCTCCACAGCATGCGTACATTTGACTTGGAACAAATTGGTGCTTATTTTACTGTCCACAAAGGGGGGGGGGGGGGGGGTGGTAGGTTGAATCGAACCTGACTACTGAGATTTGAAAACACAACCTTCTGACATGCATTTAATTAAAAGTTTCACATGATCGCATATACGTCCATCACACATCCGCCCTGACCTTTTAACCGCCCGCACCCAGCTCTGTTTTTGTTCACGGTGAAACTTATTTCCAATGCATGTTCACAGATCTGACCTTCACATGAACGCCTCTATACCCTCAATCCCTCAGCAAGTCAGATAGTACTTCACACGTATGAAATAAAAAATATAAATCTATTATAAAAGCCCGGCATTCCGTTTGTCCGTCAAGTTATAGAAAGTGGACGCCTCCCCAGATGTGGAGGTATAAAGTTGATCCAACAGGTTCCCAAAAATTGAAGACCCCCCCCCCCCCCCCAAAAAAAAAAAGTCACCCCCTCACACCCTACATACAACAGAGTCAGTAGAATCTGCACGCATTGGTGCGGGGGGGGGAGAGGACATTAGTGGGCGTGACGGGCGACGCGCCGAGAATCCCTCCTTAGGAGCGAGTAGGCTGCCGAAATTCTAGTATATTAAAAAACGCTTAAATATTTAACAAATTAGATGAGCCTCACTTGACGGACCGACATGTGACAGCTTTGTTGCGTCGGGCGATCATTTCGCGTTGTGTTTGTTTTACTCCGTTGCGCCCTCCCAGAGGCCGTGAGGGCCGTGGCGGAGGCGTGCCAGCACGTGTCGGATCAGGCGCGACGCCGCGAAAATGCCCTGCAGATGGTGCGCGTTCAGAGGATGCTCAAAGGACGCCGGATCGACATCGCCTCGCCTGGTGAGCTGTGAAAGCACCTCGTGCTGTTCCCTGCCTTGGAGTGCACGCTGCACAATGGGGCACCCTCTACTCCGAGTGCTGCTGCTCCTGCTGCTGCTGCTTCTACTATTGTTACTGCTGATATTGCTGCTGCTGCTACTGTTGTTGCTGCTACTACTATTTCTGCTGTAGCTGCTGCTGTTATTGATGTTGCTGCTGCTGCTTCTACTATTGTTACTGCTGATATTGCTGCTGCTGCTACTGTTGTTGCTGCTACTACTATTTCTGCTGCTGCTGCTCCTGTTATTGATGTTGCTGCTGCTGCTACTCTTGCTCCTGCTGATGTTGATAAGTTGATTGAGAATTCTGTGGGGTTTATTCACTAATTTCTCTGTCTATTCCGACACAACTGCCCTCATTCAGATGAACATTATTGGAAGGTAAGGCACTGCATTGTCAGTGGTGCATACCCACAAACCAAAAAAACTCGCCAACTTTGCCATTCACAGTCTGACCTATTGGGGAAATTGCCGCCCTTTGCTGCCTGTTTGTTCTGCAGTGCTAAGAAGTACTGCGTCCAAAGCAAATGATTCACAATTAGAAGTTTTACAATTAAAATCATGGTCAGGGGACAGCTCAGCCTATCATCCATCTGTGGTCGATAAAATATTTTACCGCTTTACATGTAGTCAAATGTGTTAATTTCATGGAGAGATTACTCCCCCCCCCAACCCCTTTTCCTCTTGCCATGGGAGATATAGAATTTCCACCACTGATGGAGATGAGATGTGTGCTGTTGCATTACTCACCTGAGCTTTATCTTTTGCCATATAGAAATCTGGATGGAGTAGTTTGCACTACACCATGAACCTTGAAACCCGAGTTCCTTTTCCAGATTATCTTCAGGTCAAGTAATATTTGTCCATGAGCCCAGACTAGCTATTTCACTTATCGTTAGCACGTGAGGTGGCATAACTTTAGCAGTTTTAATTGCTTTATGTGGCCAATAAAAGTAACCATTTGTAATGAGTAAGTTATAAAATAATGCACTCTTATTAACCAGGCAAACAAATTGCCGCTACTAAAGTTGTGACATCTTCGGTGGTACCAATTTCTGCTCAAGCCCATTAACTATATTGGAACCAGTCCTGGGCCCTGCCCTTCACACTCGGCAACAACTCACCAGCATGGTGAAGTACGTTCATACAACAACCACAGCGGCGTGGAGGCCTTCATTCAACGTTGGATTGGCAAATGGTGGAAAACAATTTTGCGGGTTTTTGTTGTTGTTGAAATGTGAAGCTAAAAATGCTTTTACACACACACACGCACGCACGTGCACTGCATGCACATTGTGAGGATTCTACTCGCATGCAGCTGCTTGACCTAGGTCATGTGGCGGCACGCCTACATGTCAAGGTGTCAAGAAGAGCTTGGGTGCATCCATGTGAGTTTTCAAGGGAATGATGACAAGATGTGGAGGTAACGGGCGAGAATTGTGTGTCATTCCATCTTCAATGTCTCCACCACTGAAGTGTAAAGCTCTCAAACATATTTATAGGGAGCCTCCTGAAACAGTTCTTGACCTATACGACTAGACTGTAATTGAATTATTCATCACGTACTTAGTGTGAATGCGTCTGTTTGACTGCAAATAGATAATGTATGTGATGCTTATTGTCCAGTGGTTGCTCTTGCAGATGTGTCCACACAAATCAGCAGGTTGTGGTAAATCTTGTAACAGCTGATTATTTTTTATACCCCATATAGCGTTAACATACTTTTGCTGCAAGCGCTGTTAGCGAGCACCTCTCAAGCCCAGCATGGCAAATAGGGGAATGGGTGGCCAACACTACACCTAGGCAGCTTTGTCTCCCTATGTGGCAATGTTTACACACGGCACCAGGTACTTATTCGAGGCTGAGTCGACCTAGGCGAGGCCCCGGACCAGTTCAGATCACTGGCGTTGGCCATGAGCGGGAATTGAACTCAGACTGCCGGGTTCGTAGCGCAGTGCGCTAACCACTGTGCCCCTGCTTCCCACATATAACACACATGCTAATACTTACAATTTAAATATGAGTTTAAATCAGTTTTAGTGAACAAATTAATAATTTATCTATATGAATCACGAAAACATTGACGGTTGTTATTTATCACGGTGCCATGTAAAGGGACAAAATTTAACAATTTGTAGAAACTGCAAACATTGAATTTCATCAGCAACTTCCAAGCAATGTGTTTGTAGGTTTATGATTTTGTTGTACTTATTGTGGAGCACTGCATCTCTAAATATCTTACTTTTTAAATTATGAACAATTTCTTTTATAATTGATGGTGAGCAAGCCAAACCAAAAACAAAACTGATTGATACATAATGATACGTTATAGCAAGGCATTATTCATTCAGGGCATTACTAAGCTTTGAATATCACATTAGATGGGCATTTCCAATGCATCACAATCCCAGAATTTACAGCCAATACTAATGTATCACTTTTAAATTGCTGTCAGTAATTACATGCAGAGTACTTTCCAAATCAAGATAAGCAATAGGTATCATGAATCCTGATATTCGGAATCCATATATGACACCCGCAACACTCAGCCAGCAGCCCTCCTGCAAAAATGTGCTCCCCCCACTTGGGATGTGGAGTTTACCACCGTTTCATGTCCACCCTTTCATGTCCACCCTTGGAATACAGCGCCACCCAACACTCATTTGAGAACAGAAACACCCTGACTCTTTTGACAATCGTGCATTCTGTTTGCAAATGATTTGTTTCAGTTTTTAAAAAAATCGTGGCCCTTCAAAAAAAAGAAAGAATGGTTAAGGCAACGGCATGCTTTTTGTTGTCGTTGAGTTAAAAGTGATGACATTGTCACCACACGGTGACTTTCACCGCCGAATGGAAGGCCCGTGTGCGCCCAGAGCCAGCGCCCAGTGGAATTCATTTGTTGGCACTTGGCAGTGCACACCTGTCTGTACGACAACTGTGCTCTCGTGACACCGAGAACAGCAGCAAGGCTCCCCCACGCGTGGTATAACAAGCATATGGGAGTGACTAACAGTTCACCGACAGGTTTTCTTTTTGACATAATTGCCAAGCTAAAGGTGCAACCATACAATTACTCGCTCGCTCCCCTGCTAAAGTAGGATGTCCACACGAGCGGAGCTCAAAGGGAGCTTTTCCACGGTGGTATTTTGGCCTTCTCATCCACACTGGCTCGATGTCTTCAAGGAGGGAGGAGTGCTGGCCACACTTTACTCCACCACACGCAACTTGCTGATCGTGTAACTGTGGCGGAGGGCGGGGGTTGGGGGATTTACGAAACCTGCATATTGTTTCTATTGCCGCACCAGAGTTTTTAACCAGCGTATGTACGTATATTGAAAAAGTACAATTTCATTGGTTTTGAAGGCATGCTTGGCTGTAGCCGTCCCCGATTCGAACCGGCAACTCTGTAACTGTGAGATTAACACTAGCTACAGAAACACCTGACAGGCTTAAAAAATTTCTACAAAACTTCAATATACGCGTACATTCCTTTTTGTCAATCCACTGCTGGATGAGGGCCTATCCACACCGTGCAAGTTGTGGGGGATGTTTGACCGGACTTCACCATGCTAATTAATGACAGGATGGCGAGAAGCATAGAAGTTCAGTACAACAATGCATTTTGCTGCAATGCCCTCTGCTGCCTCCTACAAAGGCCTGAAAAGAAAATCTCTAATATCTGAATTAAAGTCAAGAGTTTTAGTACGTGTTTTGTTGTTGGACGGGGAAGTAATGAATGGTTTATTTATGGGGCACCACCTCACCGGTGTATGTATATTGAACTTCTTTCGCACCGCGCGCAGCCAGGCGTGCTAATCGGAGGTGCGGGTGGAAGGACAACAAACTAAACACAAAAAACATTGACCTCTGGAATTCAGAATTACAACATGGAAGCATCACGATTTCTTTGAGTGACGCCGAACATGTTTTTCAGAAAAAAAAACACGTAAATTAGACAATTAATAATTATGCCCCTCACCGACAATTACATTAATTGTCACAATGGGGGCAACGCTCATCTACCAAACACTGCTGGCACACTTGAGCCCATTGTATAGAAATTGCACAATCCTACGGCAGGGTCAATTTTTTCATGAAACGCTTTGCGATTAGTTTCTGAACCTAGAATGAGGACAACACATTATAGCATTGGGTAAGTCAGTATGATACAAATCGGTACTGTTTGGTGATCAGGATGTTTCCATGCCATGTTGTGCTTTTTAGTGACAATGTTGATTCGCAGAGCAATTCTGTTTTCTTATTGAAGTGCACTTTAGTTTTTTTCTGTTTTATTATCGAAATACCCAGAAACATTGATTTACCAGATCATTTCATATATATTCAAGATCAGGATATATGTACAGTAATACCTTGCATTGTGAGTAACTTGGTCTGCGAGTATTTTACAAGACGAGCATTTTTTTAAAATAAATGTTAATTTGATAAACGAGCGAGGTCTTGCAATACGAGTAGCACGTGTATACGGTTTGTCTGCCGAGCGTCACGTGATCACAACTGATATACAAGTGCTTTGATGTACGAGTGCTTTGGATTACAAACACGTTTCCGGAACGAATTATGCTCGCAATCCAAAGTTTTGCTGTAGTTGTTTGAAATTATCTGTTGACAAAATTTTGACCTCAAGATTCATTCTCATGGCATGAAATCCAGCATTAGCGAAGGAAGCATTGGCCCCCTTTCGAAAGGGAGCAAAAGCATAACACGTTGCTCATATCATGATTGAACTTCAGATGGGATGTGAACTGGAAAGCAATGTTAAAGTGCATCCAATGTCATGACACTGGCTATTGTTTTTTCTTCCAAGTTGTTGTCTATAGAGAAAAACTCGCGTGGTCCCTACATTATGACCTTCAGAGTGACTCATGTACTCAGGCATTGACCTCATTAAACCTAAAGGTTTAACAGTCTGTGTTTGCAGAGGAGCCTCACCGAGCACAGAGA